GAAAGATAGAACTTTTGTAAGTCAACAAATCGATTTGTATATAAAATACTTTTTTGTTAAAAATAAAAGAAAATAATTTTTTTGAATAACAATATTGTCTGACATTACAACTTGGAGATAAAAGTTAAAATGTCCAAAAATTCTACGGCTGGAAATCATTGATTTTTCATCTTGAATTATGGTGAAAATTTCAAAATTACACATATTCATTCAAAAAGTTAAATGTTGGTGAAGTTATAATTAGTCGAGTGGTATTAAGAAAAAAGCATATAAATATCGCAAATGCAATTGTATAAAATAAAAAAGTAAGTTATATTGAAGGTTTTATTTTTTGTGATAGAGACTGGGAAAAAGTTTCCGAGGAAGTATTTTGTAGAAAAAACTTTCAATGAGAAAGATAAGACGAGAAAGAATTCGTTTAAAGAAGATTGTCTTGTTCTGTGAGGTGAAACAGAAGATGCTTGCTGTGATGTCAAAGATGAAGTATTAAAACTATTTTATTTTTATTGGAGACTAGTTCTTTATTTCTAAGGAAACATAAGGTGAGCTAAAGAATGTTTGGATAAAAGTAGAATTGAATTTTCTGTGTCTTTGAAGGCAAAAAATGGTCCAGACTTCATCGCTAGGATTGGAGCTTTCGATTCGTATTTTTGATTTATTGAAAGTAGAAAAAATCTTCAAAGCTAATTCAACATATTTTTACATGAAATCGTTCGTTAAAATAGCTAGCCAGTACTTTTTTGTAGCTAACAAGAACACGTTTAATCTAAACGGAATATATGAAATGTGAGATGAGGTTGGTTGACAGATTTATAAGTATTAGGGGTAAAATAAAGGACGCAATAACTCGAATAACTTGAATAACGTTGGTAGTAAAAGTGGTGATGTAAATGTGGGATTACGATGAGTGAGATTTTCAATAGAAGTTAATTATAATAAATATAAATTTTTAATAGTATTTCATCGTAATATGTTTCAAATGAAGGATCTATCTTTACCTTCGGGAATTCCCATGATAAAAGTAATGGGGCATATTTAAAGTTTCATCAACAATGCGCAGTGTGACGGCAATAAGCCTTTTTAAAAAATGAATGAAGTAAAAAATTAACATGAATACATGAATTGTCATTTTTTACCAAATTAGATATTATTAATTACATAACACGAAAAACCATTTTCTTGTAATCAGTAAAGCGAAAAAAAATTTTAAATAAAAATTTTATTTCCAGAAATTATCAATTCTAAAGTTATTGGAATTAAATATAGTTTTCTTCCCAGAAATCAGTCTTTATTTTTTAATCATGTACCGGATAATAAAACTAGTCATAGGTAATTTAATGTTTTGTATACTCTATAAAAAAAATCGATCAAGTTTTTTTTATAGTTAAAATAAATGTTTGTTACAAAAGTAGCTGAGAGATGTCCTACATATTACCTACTGGGAGAAAAAATAATATCCAAACAAAAATTTATTTAAAGGTATGTTGTCTGCAGGGAAAAGTAACAAAAGATAATATAAATATGATGAAAATAACAAAAAAGCGTACTGTACGATTACATCAAACATAATGTGAATGGTAACCCTCTTATATTTTTTGTAGCCCTCTGTATACTTTAATAACAAGATACAGTGTGTAATTAGGTAAACAATGAACGAAAGTGACAAGCTATTGCAGGGCTGAATTTTTGTTTTTATGACGTGTCATTCATACTTTTAACTACGTGTATCTTAAACGTATCTCACTGTTTCTTTTTGTAGGAGCGTGTAATGGACTTTCAAATCGATAAACTTTTTATTATTTAGAAGAATTACAAAGGTATTGAAGTACTTTTTCAATTTTTAAAACACTACCACCGCTAGTCAGCTTGGAAACTTCAAGTGAGCCATACCAGAATAGGTTCATCCACTTTTGTTACAAAAAATAATCACATTATATAAAATAGAAGTGTTGTATTCAATAAACCATCTTCAAGTTGAGGTAGCAAAATATGTAAGTAAACAATAAAAAAAAAAAAAAAAAAATAAATAAATCACTTTTCCTCGAATAACTTACCTAAATTTTTTCAGCTAAAAACTACCATTGTTACAATGTTTACTAAACTAGTATCAAGACTTGGTTCGAACAAATTAAACTTCTCATTCACTAAACTATTTTATTTTTATAATCGTATTCTCGGATCTTTAACGATGAATTTCGAGGAAATCCCATTAAAAAACAACAGCTTCAACCGTTGGTCTTTTCATTATTCTTATGCTCTTTTATTTCACAATATTATTTTATTAATACTTTTGATTATAATGCAACACTTTTACCTACGAGATTTTCAGGCCACATTTGCAGTTAATGATCGGTATGATAATGCCTATTCAGTATTATACTACTCAATTTTATTTCTTGCAGTCAATTTTATTGTAATTCAAAATATTATCAAACAAAAAAAAGTCATTAAAATTTTTACAAACTTTAACTCAGTAAAGGAATTAATAGGAGAGATAGAAAAAAATGTGAATAGTGAAAAAACGATGTCAAAAGAAATAAGAAATCTTTACTTTATCATTTTATACAATATTTTGTCCACCAATTTTCTTGCTTATTTTTGCTATACCAACACAAAACGCCGAATATTTGTATTAATAAGAGTGATTCATGTTATCATAATAGATGCCACAGTGGTGCAATATACTTTTATTTTTATCTCAATAAAAATTTTATCAGCAACTATTAATTCTTATTTAAAAAAAAATTTTGATAAATCTATGCCCCCGGAAAGCACTGATTTTTTTGGTTATGATATTGTACAAATGCAATGTTTGACCATATCGAAATTGCAGAAAGTTTACATGTTGTTAATGAAAACATCGCAAGAGATAGCAAATTTTTTTTCTCCGTTAATTTTTCCATGCATTATCGTGTATTTCACATCTTTGTTGTATTATTCTTATTATTTGATAGATGATAGTGTCGATGATAACAATAGTTTAATACATAAGTTGATACCGTGTTTGGTAAATCTTTTTAACACTTTACTCATGATCATAACATTAACTAAGTCTGCAAGCTCTTCGATTAAAGAGGTAATACATAATTAATGTTTTAATTATATTATTGCTGCGAAAATATAACAAAACTATAAATAATCACACAGAGTAAGGGCATACAAACTACACTGACTGGATGCTTATTGAAGAACAATGATGCCAAGTACGGACGCATAACGTATCAAGTAAGAATCTGACAATAATTATTAAGAATTATGAGTTATAGAAAGTTACAATGAAAATATAAAATATTTATTTCTAGATTTTATTATTTTCACATCAATGCAGAAGTGCAGAGCTGAAATTCGAAACTTTGGCTGTTTTTTCGATTGACAAAAAATTATTCGTTTCGGTTAGTATTCCTTCTAAGTTATCTAATATTCCATTAAAAAGTTTTTAAAAAATTATGTAGGGAACAAAAAGTTTTCTTAGAAAAACGAATTCGATTATCATCATGATTCATTTTTCAGATAATAAGTGCAGCTGCAACGTATTTGTTTATATTATACCAATTTGACCCCTCTAGAAAATAAAATCATATTGTAATAATTAGTAGATCATGGCTATATGGTTTAAAGCTGGAGCTGAATGTTTTTGGATAAATAATCGGAAGTCATGCAGAATGTTACCATAATTTCACCGAAATACATTAGTGTCCTCTTGAAAATACTGAAAGTGAGATTGCATTTATACATTACACCTGAGTTTCAAACGATTATAGTATTTTGATAAATGTTGTTAGTAAATATAGTATGTGCATTTTTTCTTTGTTTAATAAAGATGGATTTTTAAATTAGAGTTATAAAAAGTACTTGGCTACCATTTGTCATACCTTTCTTGTATCCCTTTGGACAAATGATAATTTAAGTAATTGATAATATATGTTATGATATACATGTGAATCCAATACAAAGCGTTCAATAAATTTGAAAAATTTATCATTTGCGTGTTGGTAAGTATGCCTATAATTCATCGCATCTTTCCACGACAGGTACATATTTATTTTTCACTGTATTTAAGCATATGACGATAATTTCAAGATTTCGTATTTTTTAAATTATAAAGACTTTAACAATGAACGTATACGCATAAAATTGCGTGAAAAAAATTTTTTTCGCATTATAATGTTTTTTTTTCTTAATTAACGAAGACTATGTACCAATAAGATCTCTCTATGAGTAAAAAAAAAAATCAATTCAAAACGCGGTACATTGCTAGTCTTCTTCAAAAGCCTTACATCGCCCTAATGTGTGTTTGTAAACGTAAGTTTATGTGTTGGTATATTTTAGTAATATGAAGAAAAATTGAAATCTCATTTATGATAATTCAAATTGCCTCTCTTACCTCGTTCTTTCAATTCTATGATATACTACCCACGTGGTGATCAGTGAAGAGCGAAGATATGGCAGTTATCAATACGCGATCTATCTCTCACAAACATATACAATTCATCCAAACTACACGATTAAAAAATCGCCTTCAAAGTATCTCAGCTCGTAAAACATTTAACAGAAGCCCTATGAGATATTTGACTGTATATCATGTTTCATTACTTTAAAAATAATTATGATTTGGGAAATATTACCTTCAACATTCGTAAACATTTTGTAGCAATGAAGTTGCTTGGTAGTTTTGTCACATGGATCTGCATACGGAACGTTACTTACCGTGTTTCGAGAACCGTTAATTTTGGCGTTATAGACTACACAAAAAACGTAGGTCAGCCAAGTATTGCATTTAAATTCACGATAAAATTAAACGTTAAATAATTTGGTACACAAGTTTGTTAAAAAAATATCATAAACATGTTTTATTTTTTGTTACATTCAATGTTGAAAACAGAATTGATATTGAATTTTTGTTATGAACACTCGCATTTTAGATAATATTACAGACGTATTACAATAAGTATGTATATTTACGCATACATCTATGTATAAATATAAAACATGAAACAACAAAAATTTAACGATGCTGATTTTTGATCACTATAAATATTTCATAGTTCTTTCGTTCAGTTTTTCTTGTAACATACATATGTACACTGTATAATAACACTCAGTAATATATTCCAACTGTATTGACAACGGTTTTTTTTGCTTCCTTTAACAAGAGTACTTCCTCATTGACAATACCCTCAAGTATACTTATTGTTTGGTTCATTAATTCTTTTTTTTTTTTTTTTTTTTTTTTTTTTTCAAGTATTACAACTGCAAGTAATAAAAGGTAGCTGAAATATTTTATTTACACCCTTGTTCACTTATTTAAGGTTCTTTTTGCTCTTGTCACGTTTTGTATGTTTGGTTGATACTGTGGAGGCGACAGTCTGATTCTGTCCTCTACTACAGTGTTAACGATTTCTGTATGGTGTCTTTGTACTTGTCTCCAGCGAATGTTTCGTGAATTCCGACCTGAAATCCAATCATTGTCTAATGTACTTAAATTTATGTTTGCGGGTTAATAAAAGCTCTGTAAGTTAGATTAAATTTTTGTTTATTTTACTTATTTATATTTAAAATTTACTTGAAAAAAAATCTGAAAGATCATGCACTTTCCAATAAAAAGCGTATTTTTTGTGATAAAACATAATCTATGCGAATGTATATTTGATCGAATAACCATCTACGTGCAAAATAATATTATAATATTATTTCATCTAAAATTGTTATAGCATGAAAAAAAAAATTTTTTTAAAAGACAAAAATATATGTAGCAATTTTTTCACACGTCATTGTATAGATTTCAACTTCAAGGGCCCCTTTTCGTTCATTAGTGAGCAAATATACTAATGTGCAAAGTTGTTACTTCGCGGACTAGTGCATGAAAATGTATTTCGTGTATGTATATGCATAGTGTAGCTAAAATGGAACACTTCTTACTCCCCAGCAAGCACCAGAAGTTGAACTTCGCAAACTACATATTAAAAAAATGTTCTAAATATTTAAAATAATTTTTTATTGTATTTCTTAAAGCTTCAGTGATAAATTTTACGCCATCAGCCAATTATTTTCGGCACCTCCCATTTAATACTTCAAGATACGAGCCCCTGGAAAACCAACATTGATTACCTCATGTGCGCTGCTCAACGCCGTTTTGGAAAATAGTAACGGTGGTCTCCTGCTCCTGGGGCATGCTTCTGCCGCGCGTGTCGCTGACGTTGCTAGGGTTCCAAATCGGCAAGTTAATGGCACTCTGTTGGCCACGACGGGAGCTGGTGTGTCTGCGCGAGGTCGTGAAGGAAAAGCTCTGGCAGCGGCGGTTCGAGTTTATGATCGACGTTCGTCTGCGCGTGGGCGTGCAGCAGCAACACAGCAGGTACCTGCGTAAAAATCGTGTCTTATGGGCATGGCTATTAGCTAATTCTTGGATCGGTTCGCTCGAGTTTTTTACGACAATTTCACAATTACTGTGGAATTTGGGGTGCAAATGCGTAGAAATGCAACCACTCGGAGCTACATACGCGTAAAGTACTCCCCGAAGAATCTGAGAAAATAAAAATCAATAATATGGACTGGATTTCTCTGATCTAGCCTACGGAATCGATTATTCTTATACACTTATTTAATCAATATCATTTTATTTATATTTAAATTCTCAAACAGCTCAATAAGAGTAAGTCTTCTGATGTAATTGAAAAACGGGGCTATGATCCGGGAAGCTTGGAACCATGATGTATTATGCATGAGTGGACGTACTTCGATTTAATACAACACTGCTGGTCAATTAATTTACCTAACGACAGCCCAGAAAAGAAAATTTCATCTCCAATTTTTAGAGAAGCAAACAATATTTTACATTTGTTGGCCGAAAGCGATATCTCCCGAAGGATTTTGTGTATATAGTAGTCATACTTGTAACTATTCGATGTGAGTTGAGGTAACGAAATTATATTGTAAAAAGGAACATGTGTCTTACTAATTTCCAGTATAAATACGTGAAATCTCGTCTATGAACTTAGTTGTGTGTTTACTCATCCCTTGAAAGTGACAAAAGTATATTTACCAAAGTAACTGAGACGTACTTATTACCTCTTTCGATTAACTTCTTGGAACTCTCTAATATTACGTAAAAGATACTCTCGGAAATGTTTGCTCAGCAAACTAGCAATCTTCCAGAAGTTTATCAAGGAAAGTCAAGTAGCGTGGTGTATATAAACTAAAACGAAAAAGCAAGAAATTTTCAAAAATCGCAATTATAGATATCCTTACGTGCAGATAATCTTTTTTTTTTTTTTTTAATACCAATGGTCAAATTTAATAATATATGACATTTTTGGGTTATTGGACTATTCGTACATTACAGTAACATATTAAATATTGTGACTGATGTTCGATGTTTATGATTTAGTTGTGTTCACCATGCGTATGAAATAATGAAGAAGAGAAGCATGATCATAAAGACCAAGCCAATTTCAGGTTAAAAGGTATAAACAGATACGAATATATCAATTTCGGCTTTTGCCGTGAAATTAAATGTCGATACTTTCGATGCCTTTATACTTTCAACAATAATGTGAAACGTGCAATGTACGTCACTGTATCTCATTTTTCAAATACATGTGTGTTACTGTATGTAAAGGAAACAGACATTTACGTAAGAATTTTAAATTCATCCATTTCGCGTCTCCGAAACGATAAACGTGCATGTATTCGAGTTCGAATCAGTGAAAACGTGTTGTATTTCCAAGCCATAAAGAAGAGCGACTAAAATCCGCTTAGACGTGCATAATACGCGTGCACATGATACGTGACGTGAATCTGAAGTACGAAAGAAGACGAAGAAAACAAAGTTAAAGCCAAGCTCTTCGTGACCGTAAATCAACGATGAAATCGATACCATTTATCTCCAAAGTAAAATACACGGGAATCGGGTTGCGCTTGTACACGAGGCTAAGCAAAATAGCAAATTCGACGCTAATAATGAGTATAGACGGAGGGTACGAAGATGGCGTTTAAAAGTGGAAGATGAACAAGCGGGAGAGCTGTTGGTGCAAAGTCGAGCATGAGGTTACAGGATAAGGGGGTACGAGGAAATAATTTAGTGTGCAGCCAGCGCTGGATCCTGAAGAGGTGAGAGTAATTGTGGTGCTGATTAAGGATGAAGTGTATACAAGGCCAATCTCACTCAAGTAATTCTGTATACACATATTGGCAATTCCAGAGTACGGTGCATTGTTACCGGTTGAAAAATAATACCTTAAAGAAACGACATGGCTGAGATTACAAAATTATTATAAAACTAATTTATAGTAGTTTGAACATGAGCTAGCCTTCAACGACGAGTATTCACAAATCCCATAAGCAATTATCATGATACACCTACGATGTATGCGATAACCTTTTACTATTCAAGTAAGAAAATGGCATAAGGACGAAAATGACTTCTAGCTTAACAAAAAATTATTTCATAAAAGACAAATATACCTAATAAATGAAATAAAAATATTTTGTTAGTAAAGAGTTGAAAAAAAAAAATAAATAAATAAAAAGAAAAATTATGAGAAAACATTGTGGCTGAAGGAAAGTCACCATGATGTTTTATGGTATAGGCAATACATTGAAAAATTGGAAAAAAGTGTTTAGTTTATTCTTTGAAAACTTTTTAAATATACTCTTTAAAATCAAATTACTGATTTTATAACGTTTTATGTACCCATACTGTCAAAAATATAAAAAGTGTTATGACAAAGACATATCTGACCATACGTACTGTCGTACTACTTACGGAGAAAATATCCGCGATATCTCAAATAAAACATGTATAAATGCTTACTTATATTGAATCTAAAAACTATAGTATCAGCTTACTTGATTCTTAATGTGTAGATGCAGGAAAAATGTGAGCTCGTGCATAAAAAAAATTAAAGACAAAATTATACATAGTACAGACTTGGTATTAATACTCCCGGATGTGGCATACAAATTGGCATGCGATTCAAATCTCAAGTTATTAAGCTCAATAAGTCCAATTACAGTGTAACCTAAGCTCTTTAACCTCATAATTTAGTTTGAAAGTAATTATATTCGTTTGTATAAATTTTATTTTATTCGTGTAAATAATTTTGTTTACAGGTTATGAGGTTGTATCTTCTGATGTTACAAAGTTATGTAGATGAAGAGTTTAGGTTGTGGCATAATTGGGTTTTAATAGTTTGAGATTTGCATTATGCGCTACTTTGGATGTCACTTGGTTGTTTTAAACTTATAAAAGCGATTGCCATACATTTCCTGACAGATTTCCCTGGCTGACCAACCTAAATTCGGTGGCAGACGAATATAACATGTGAATGCATAAAGTATATATATAATGACATATAGTTGACCATTTTTATAGACACATAAGATTATACATTTTTAAAAAGTGTTGCAAGATTATCAAAATATCACATAAAAAAAGAAAAACGTTCAGAACACCGAACACTACTTTCTATTTGACTTATAAAAATTGCAAAATGAATTTTTTTTAATTGTAATAAATTTATTTACATATTTTAATATACATTAATTAAATATAAAGTAGGGAGCTAACGCAGAGAACAGGGGGGTCAACAGAGAGAATTATTGATATCTCTACTAAATTTAAACTAACTTTACTCGTTTACACCTGCATAAATGTCATTTTTTAATAGCTGTTCCTGCGTCATTTTCTCGCGTCAGTACATCTATTTTAAGTTTTTGTTTCTTTACTTCTATATTTTTTAAATATTTGTGTTGATTCTTCATTTCCATTACTTTTTCTCTGAGTCTTGAATTTCGCACCTGATTCGGGAGTATTATAATTCGTTAATCTGGTTGGTTCAGTAAGAGTACGCGAGGAAAGAAAAAGCTCTTTTGACGTATAAATTTTTCACGTAGTACATGGTTACTTTTTTTTTTTCATCACATGAAAGTTTCGTTTCTTTTCTCTCCAGGTAAAACAACAAATTAGCGATACTCTTTTTTTAATGTAAAACTCGATGATTATTCTAAACGTAAAAGTTTTTGAAACCAGAGAGTCTCCAAAACTGGTAAGCTGTGAAATTTAATTGCAAAGGCATCTTAAAACAAGATTTGCCTGTTGAAAAAATAAAAGACCTTAGGTACTGGGGGCAGACAGCGTAGCGATCGATTTAATGAAAAATCGAGAAAGCACCGAAGAAAATTAAAACAGGCTTTTATTGGAAGCTGGAGCCACCTGGGAAAAAGGAAACAAAAGTGAGCCAATTTATATTGAAATAATTTTATTACAATATGTTCATCTTTGCTTCTTTTGAAAAAAAAAGTTAGCATATTAAACGAAATAAGGAAACACTTTTTCCTTTCAGAAATTGGAAAAAAATGTTTAACTACATTTTTTTTAAACTTTTCAAATATACTCTTGAAAATTAAATGACTGATGTTACAACGTTATAACCTTATTGAAAAATATACATATAAAAAGTATGATAGCAAAAATGTGTCTGACCATACGTACTGTCGTACTACTCACGAAGAAAATATCCGCGATATCTCAAATAAAACATGTATAAATGTTTATTTAAATTCCATCTAAATGTCAAAGTAGTAGAGTACTTTATTCCAAATATACTGAGATGTAAGGATTGTCCAAAAAAACTATTTGTAAACAAAACAACCACCATTTTAAATCTAAATAGCTCGACCCAGTATATTTAATACACGTGTGGCAATGTGTTGTTATTCAATAGACATAATAATTTCAAGTATTTTTGTTTGGGACCAAAATAACATCTTGACATCGAAATTGAATGTGCTATTTTAAACAAACACCATCTCTCAATTAGTGTTGACACAAAAGGTTATTGGTTGAACATGTTGAAGGTGCGAGATACTGTAAAACTTAAAATAATATACAAACCAATCTCGTAATAATATTCAATCGTAAAAATCCACGCCAACAAAAATTTCACCATAACACATGCATGGACAACTACGCGCCACATTGTTTGTTGTAACTCGAATACGGTGTTATTAAATAGAAATCAATTAGAAACACTAGAGCAGCTGTTGAATCACCTTAAACTTAAAAAAGTTTTCTCAGCAGTTTAAAAATAGTATATTCAACATAGCTCTTACTTCGTACCAATTCTTTGTTGGTCCAAGTGAAAGCATAACGCGTTAAAATTCGTGTGCTGCCTATAGCTTAGATTATTTGAAAACAAACTTTGTACTCGAATGAATCAATAGAGTATCTTTAAAAACTCATTAAGGTCTGTATACAGGGAGTATTTTATTCAACCTCATTAAAATCGCGAAAAAAAGCAGTTCCAACGAAACCTCACGCAATCGTCAAACGAAATAGAGAAAAAAAAAAAAAAAAAAAACGCGGGTAGCTAAACAAACAACAAACGAGCCGAAGGGCAATCACGCGCTCGATCATTACCTTTGAAATTGGCGGGCCGCCAGTGTTCATTTAATTTACCGCATCGACAGGCCGAGCCGAAATCGATATTCCCCCTCGCGGAGAGAACAACCGAGGATGGGGGCGCTATAATTGTTATATAAACGGAGGCGTATGTACATGCCACGCGTACACGGGGATGGCGCATTGTACACACACACACACACATATATATATAGCCCTTACCTGTTGAAGTATTTGCGGAAAGTGCCGCTGACGCAGTAGAGGGCGATGGGGTTGATGCAGCTGTTCATGAAAGCCAGGCAGAAGCCGAGGATCCGGAAGTAGTGCCAAAAGGCGTTGTAATCGAGTTGGGCGTTTGGGTTCAGGTAGAACCAGAGCATGAACACGTGCTGCGGGAAGAAACAGACGGCGAACACCGCCACGAATGCCATAACCATCTTCGCTACCTTCTTACGTGCCTTTATCTGCTTCACCTGCGTCATCGGGGTACTTTGTTAAATTTTTCTTTCCATCTCACCTCGTTTTGCTACGTCGATTATACGTTCGACACCCAACACCGAGCCTTTTCTACAGCACTGAGCTCTTCGCGAGTCTTATACATGTATAGGGCAAACAAAGTGGTTTTGTTTTCTCCGCTCCAATCCTTCGCTTGACTTTCATTATCTCGTCCGTGTGGGTTGGAATTTTTTTTCTTTTTTTTTTTTCATGCAATGAATTGTGCTCTCGTAACTGCTTTGTAATGGAATGGTATATTGTTATATAATCCGATTACCGTGAGCTGCGGGTTTACCGAATATCCGCTCGGCTTTACGACGATCAAAAGAACAAAAGATGATACTAACTTGAGAGACGGGGATTTTGTTTTCTTTCAAAATCTTTTGTACGTATTTTTATCCCGGATGTGGCATACAAATTGGCATGCGATTCAAATCTCAAGTTATTAAGCTCAATAAGTCCAATTACAGTGTAACCTAAGCTCTTTAACCTCATAATTTAGTTTGAAAGTAATTATATTCGTTTGTATAAATTTTATTTTATTCGTGTAAATAATTTTGTTTACAGGTTATGAGGTTGTATCTTCTGATGTTACAAAGTTATGTAGATGAAGAGTTTAGGTTGTGGCATAATTGGGTTTTAATAGTTTGAGATTTGCATTATGCGCTACNTAATTAAAAACCCCCTCGACTTTGTATTTCAGTAAATACGTATACATTCTTTGAAGGTATTTACTATCAATTATTCCACGGGCTCTCGGGTAAAATTGAAGAAAAGTAGGAAAAAGAAAAACAAACCAGTTGTCTACTGGGAAATGGACGCGTCGTAAAATGTAAATTTCGCCGATGAAACGTATATTGCTTTTTTAATCGATAGACAGTAGTTTGTACTCGATAAGTTACAGGTGGGGATCGATACTCTTTGGAAATGAAGCGCCAGGAAAAGCTAAATTAATAACAGACCGATAAAATAATAATCTGCCTCTCGAGTGGGCCATCACGACTAAAGGCTCACGAGGGAGCGCGAAATCCATCCATCAATCTTTACGCAGTTATCGGACTCATCCTCTTTAGATAATCATCTTTGGGGATTCGCCGACGAGCCGTTATTGAATTCTGAAATTGAAAATCTGCGGCGTCAGCGTAATGATTGTATATACTGGCCTCTTTATTCACTGCAAAAATTTCAAAAATCTCCTCACGCGCGTGCAGTAATCTAGAGTCACGTTTTTACAACAAGGGTGATTTCATTAAACGATTCCTCTCTCGTTAGGCACCTCCTCTCATTGAATTGCTCGTGAATTGGCACAAACTATGACAACAGCAGGTACAGCAATTAATGTCTCTAAGGGAAAAATGCACTGATTGTACTGAAAGATGTTACAAGCTTCTTCGTAAATTGCAAAACATATGTAATATAGACACCTTATTCTCTAGTTCTCGTCTTTTTTCTCATTTTTCCTACTCGTGCATCTACTCGTGATGTGATTTTTGCAGACACCCTCCACCCCTTAACCACTTTTTTGTGCTCGCAAGTCAGAGTAGTGACCCATACCCCATCTTTCATCACCCCTGTCCCCAACCGACCCTTTTTGGTGCCCCTCTTTGCATACTCACCCCTTAAACCTCAAGTCTCGAGAACGAATCCCAGCCACATTCGTCTTTTACACGGTTGACCTGGCCGGGATTCCGCCCTACTAGACCACCCATCCCTCGGGTCAGCATCTAACCAACTGATAACCGCTCCTCTTGTATTACATATTGAGTGGAAGATGTTTACGTTTACTGTACATCAAATCAATCGGTTGATTTTTTATTTTTTTATTTTTTACTTAAAGTATGTAAATTTCTTTGGATTCGTAAAAGGTATACATTTGCATATATTTTAAGGAATCGAGCTTTAATCTCTATTACGTTGTCTTGATTTCCTGTAAAAATAGAATGAGAAAGAGAGAGGATGGAAAACGTGATAATGAAACTTTCCAGAAAAGCTGCGTTGCAGACTGCCCATTGGATGATAGTCGGGTGCATCTCATAATCTCGCAAGTTATCACACTCGAGACTATTTTCGATTGTTCTCGAATTTTCGTATCCAACAAAGTTATTAACTTTAGTATGTACATCGGTGTCGCGATAACTAAGCTGTATAATCGAGCTGTAGTGGAAGATTAAATAATTTCGCTGGATTTCAATAAAAGTGCCGAGTGAGTTTTGTTTTCAAAAAAGACTGTGTTTTTATCTGTTGCTTTCAATCAAAGTTTTTGTACGAAGATTTGCGTGAGGCTCTAGATGAAACGGCTATTTTTGATCTTTCAACTGAGGCAGCTAGGAATAGAGAGTACAAAGTTGACAAAACTTTTTTTTTTAATCGATAAAACTTTCCATTCAAACCCAATCGCGATGCTTTATCGTTTTCTGTACGATCAAGGTGTACAAGCAGGAACAATAACATTGGTTTTAATAAAAAAGCTAAAAAGTCAAGGAGCTTTTCTTGCCAATCCGGGACCAAAGGTAAGTTAATAGGCGTGATGCGAAACAGGGAGAACGAGATGAGGAAATTGTAGGGATCGGATTGGTTGGTTCGTCAATCTGCTACTTGTGCTGAAAAGTGTGTGCAAATTGATTTGAAAAATTCACAACAGTTTACAACAGTTAAAGTACAAAGTGGATTATGAATTGGATTCGAAAGTATTTTTGTTTTTTTTTTCTTGTTTCAATTGCTCCTGTTACAACAGATTCAGGTGAGCATCTGTGGTACACAAAATAGTACATTCGGCTGATGTAAGTGCTAAAAATTAACAAAAAATTAAAAAATAATAATTTGAATTCAGCGAATTAAGTTCCCATTTCTCGTACGAGTATAGTGGCTGAAATAGTGTCCCGCTTACATTTATGGAACTGAGTGCAAATTGGATTTGGGGTAAGATTTTTCGAGTTGTAAACTTAGTTTTTTACTGGAAAAGTTAAAACTGTCGGTTCATACTCCTGAACGACAAACTTCTAATTTTTTTTTTTTTTTTTTTGTTTGTTAATGTTTACGCAGCGAGACTGAAATAAGTGGTTGATTGTGTGGATCAATAGCCTTGTACTATTAGTCGTACTTGAGTGTGAAGGACTTCAGAGTTTAATATCTTTCTCAGAATAAACTTCATTTTGTTAAATTTTCTTAAATATGTATTGTTACAATGTGTAATTTTAACCAATTTTGTAAAAAATATGTACTCGTGTAAAACCTTGGGAGTATTTACCAGCTGTTACCTACAGGAAATGTTTTCTCTGTAACGGTGTAACTGTTGGGAACTAGCTCGGGCAATGAATTAGCACGTTCTGTCTTTAAACGAGTCACGCATACTTTTCGATGTCGACGTGACCTTCGGTAATCGATTAGTTTTTTCTTTTTTTTTTTCAATTGTCTTTGTCAATGGCTATTTCAGGAGTCACGAGGAGGCTCTAGGACTTACAAGGAGTTCGATGTTTCACAACATCATACAATTTTACGTTTTATCACCTTTTATGTTAAAATCACAGAGAGGCGGTTTCCTCCTAATTTTGCCATGTATTAGGCTGCTGTTGTAAATGTTTGATAATTTGCTGATTATTTTTGCTTTAAAACTGCAATAGTACATAACAATTAAAAAAAAAAAAAAGGTCGCGATTTATAGATCGAAAGTAGAGTCAGTTCTCAATGAAAACGAGAGACTCTCTTGCTCACGAGAGCACGCAAAAGAAAAAAGAACGAAATAAAACTATTTTAGACGAAGCAGTGTCGAAATGTTTTGTCGGAAGGTCAGTCGATTAGTCAACTGTTGGTGTAAAAATTGATTACCGTAGTATGTTTGACCCATCTACACTGTACAGATGTAAAAAAAAAAAAAAAAAAAAAAAATATGCTAAGCTTGCTCCATAAATTTTAAAACGCAGCAAATCTTTTGCACGAAAAAGACTTTAGGCATAACGTGTTTTTGTTTCCACTTTGTTGAAACTTTCAAGCATTAGGTGTTCGCACGTCTACGTGGATGGAACCCACGTTGATGCGTAACCGATAAAAGTTTTGCGCCTCGCGCCTTATTTCGTAGAGAAGTAAAAGTGAGTGGCAAGGCACCATCAAACCAAATGAGCTGGCTGTCTCGCTTTCTATCGGTACAAAAGGCGAGGTCTGAGAGAGAGGGAGGGAGAAAAAAAAAAGTTGACGATACTTCGCAGGCCTCGAACACCTTTGAGGGTTGGCGGGGGAGGTCAGACACGCCTCTGCAATCTGGTATGCAAAATAGAAAGAGAGGCAAAGGTCGGCTCGAACGTTATACTGCGCACTGTACAAGTTGCATGTTAAGAGCGATTTTTTTTTTTCTCTCTCTCCAACGCAGTTAGCTGGCTTTTCATTGCTCTCCTCCTCCTCCTCTTTTCTCGTTTTTTTCGTCCCATTTAAGTCTTTGTGCTTGCGTTGCAGGCATTATATTGACTCGTATCCTTTCCGCGTTATGCACATGACGTGTAGGTACTTGTGCACGTACTTCTACCATCACATGCATCAAACTGCTTGTACGTTATTCTTTGTGTGAATTTACTGATTTTTATTGTGTATACCAGTAGGCGAGAGTAAAGTATCGTAGTCTTGGCAAAATCATTGTTGCATGCGATTTTCATCGCGGTTTTTTCATGAATATTAGCTCAGCCGTGCACAATTTTTTGAAGTACCACTTCATCCGTTTCCCCTCTTCGAATTATACATTTTTTTTAACATCAAGTTCCCTAGCTATCCAAAAAATGTAAAACATTGAAAAAGTAATGCAAAGTATAATAAAAATTATCAAAAATCCTTTTTAGTTCGCAAAATTTAATCTCTCATGCTACAATTCTAGAACCATGTACAAAATGTTTTTTTGAGCACCAAAGAGCAAAATGTTTAATTTGAATATGAGTGTTTGTGCCCGGATGGAGAAAAAATAAATCAAAGCTCAAACCTTTGGACTCGTAAAAGCAAATATACAAAACTCTTTGGCACCGTTAATGGTAGGTACGCTCGTATTTACTCGGAAAAAAAAAAATATTCGCATTTGGGCAAAAGCCACCTGTTCGCGCCCTTATTGCATGATGGTGTACACTTTCATAATTTCGTTTAATTTATTTGAAATGTACCTAGGTATAAATTTTACAGTTTATAATGCGTTAATTAAGTTAATACATACATTTTATTTTATTACTTTGTTATGTCAATTGACAAGGAATTTTTTTTACTTCGTAGTTCAATAAATAAGTTTTGCTTCCAAGTATCGGTAATTTATTTCATGTGTTTTAATCCAATAAGTACTTGTTTCTATTAAATATTCTCCTATTCCTCTACTTATTTTTACGTACATGTTAATTTACAAACGATTTACATTGTATAAATAGCGTATAATTTGTGGAGGGGTTGTGAAGGACAAAAAAAAGACTTTGAGGGCTGAGAAGGTGTACTTAAGGAGCTGTGGGGGACTTGACCAAGATTTTGTTGGGTTAACTTTACTAAGAAAAAAAAAAAAAAAAAAAAAGAAAAAAAAAGTAATTTTTTCTTATTTTGTGAGGTCCGTGAAGAATTGTAGTTCTTGGGATCTGTGAACGGGGAGATGTATGATAGGGATCTCAAATATCAATTGAAAACAAATTTACATTATGAAATATATGTGTAGGAACTTTTTGCAATTGGGAAACGATGAAATGTCCCAGTGATTTGGTGTTGGAACTCAATAATATTGTTTTACACCACCAAAGGAAGAAATTCTAGTACTTATAGACACCGCAAAATAATTACTACTGGATTTCTAAGGTGCAGGTCGACCGGCACTCAGATGATACATTTTACGTAACTCTTAAGCTGGCTTATCTTTCAAGGAGGTTCGTCACAGTGCAGTAAAGTAACACGAGCAGATTGTGTATCAGGTTTTCATCCACCGTTACATACAATTTTAGTCAAGATTATTAGATGAAATGACAATAAAGAGAGAATTTGTTTGAGAATCGGGGTTTACCATCGGCTCTTACGACCGTACGTAATTTTGACACTAAAAGTCATTGATTTTTGGTAGAAATGTATCATTATCACCAAAAACCACGGTACTAAGCTTGAAATTATACGTTTTTTTTGAAATGTTTTATTTAGGATAAAAAAAAATTACAATCACAGAGTTGCATTGACACAGTTAATCAGGTTGAATCCAGTATACACACATCAGCAAACAATAAATCTCTGGGTACCGAATAAACTACTTTAGTCTACTAGTGCTGCAATAAGATACTTCTAATTAAGGTGGTTCAACGAGAGTTACGTGCAGTTTTTGAATAACGATTGATTCAGTTAATTGTTGAAAAATCGAATTTAAAAGGAAAAATTGTTGATAGAAAGTTTATTTTCGATCCGCTGTAAATTGTACATGTTAGGATATTATAAGTTATAAGTTATGAAAAACATAATAATTCATCTATTTTTTAAATCTCCTTTAAATAAATTCTAAATATATTTTCATTTTTTTTTCATTTCTAGTTTTCAACACTGATTTAATTTCTGAATAATTTTAAATAAGGATTTTGTAAAAGCTGAGGTTTTAAAAAAAAATCTTTATTAATTTTTATCTAGTTTAGATTAATATTNTTGGTAATTTTTTTTTTCCTTTACTATTGAACAAGAAACCGTTTATTTAAGATTCGACCGAGGAAACCAAGTTCAGCCCAGATATTCATCATGCATGTTCGAAAAATGGGGTCAGTAAGTGAGAAATCTCAATTAAAAAAAAAAAAAAAAAATTTTTTTGTTTACTGTATGAATATTCTTTCAGTTAGAAATAAAAAATTAAGCATACTAATATATCCTCGCACAATCAGCCCAAGTGGAAAAAATAATTCTTGCCAAGTAAACAAGTCCCGCGTTAATTTTGAAATGAAATCTCTGAAATCCTGTTATTCAGGTCAGGAAGGAAAATGGAATACGGCTGGAATTAGTACCCCGTGTTTCTCACCGTCGCGATAATTTTAAATGAAGTTACGAAAAGATTTAACTTAATCCCAAAGCAAAAGTTTAATTGCAGTCGCTATCGTACGGGGCACAGCCCTCCTAAAATGCACCACATTTTTTCTTTCATTTACCATAGGTATGTACAAAAACGGTGATCAGAAAAGTTCAAAGACTCAAAGTTTCAACGACAAGGACTACAATGGGTCAACACATGCGAGGGAATCCTATACTCGTATATATAGCGAATTCGTAAATAGCCGAGCCCAAGTTGGTCTCTGTGCAACAAAGTGGTTACAGAAACGCCTTTCGGTGGCTCACCTCCCCTCCACCTCTGCATACCTCACCACTCGTATTGTCGTGCTCGAGGTTCTGGCGATCAGCCAGGCAACACTCGGGATACGAGATAACGCAACAATACGAAGGTATTTTACAGGAGAAGGAGGTCAAATACGCAAATTCGCGACCGAGGAATCAAGTGCATCCACCAAAAGAGAAATCATCGTAGTGGAGTGCAGGTGTCACTGGATACCGAATGGAGTGCATAAGGGGAGTAAGGAAAAATGTGTACCGACGGTGTCGGAAACAACATACAATTTCCGTGGGAACAAATTAAATCAGATCACATGTTGCAGTGGTGTTTGAACGAAAATTCTTTTTTTTTTTTTTTTTTAAGAGAATGATAATATGATGTACGCACTCTTTAATTGATTCTTACTTTCATCTTAATATTTTTGGTCAGTTAGTTTTGTCCAACTTTTATAGTAGGTATCAGGCTCTTTGCATAATCACAATCTTGTGGACTTTAAAGTATATATGTATAAAGAAACCAAAAAAATTTCGAGCAACAGTTGGTTACGACGGGGCTTTTTATTACTCCTGTCTCTCATACATTATTCGCAGTGGGGCGCTCGCTTGAACAAGCACAGTTGATTGGCTCAGTCGAGGTTGAAAAAGAAAAAAAAAAAAATTACAATTCCAACTAACCAAATGGATGGTATGCAGGAACATTTCATAAGTAATTGCGTGTAGAATTGCTACCTCAACAAAGAAAAAAAAAAAAAAAAAAAAAAAAAAAAATATGGATGAAAAGGTTGCGGAGGAATGCCTTTGCGGGTGACGAGTCGAGCGTATAAAAGCTACACGAGTACACCGGCTGCTGTTGTCATGCAAGGGTCATTTTTATTTCACGTGCCATCAATTCAACCAGCTCGGGAAATTTTTCATTTGTCAATGACACCCTGGATATCATGGACGATCTATCATTCAATTCAACGTTATACAAACGTAAGGAGGATATTTTACGGAATCATTTATCTGCTGACTATTATGACGAACGGTTCGAGTTATAAATGTTTCCTTTTTCAAAAATTCCGATTAATAACTTGTTTTCATTCGCGTGCAGTTATGTGGGTAAAGGTAGGTATATATGTATGATTTTTACAGCTAATAGACGTATGACAAAAAATCGGCGTGACTCACCTGGCCCTGCATTTCACCAGGTATGTTCCTGGTGCTTTGCATGAGGTGCCTTGCCATGAGTATGTAGAAGAAGGCGATTATCGCCAGAGGAAACAGATACAAAATGCAAAACCGGCATATCAGGACGATTTTTGGGTAGCTTGGTCCAAACTCTTCTGGGAACGGGTAGCACGTCTGTTGGAACAAAAATGTACTTTGAGCAGAACAAAACAACAACGGCTGCACAAGGAAAATCAAGGGTTTTCTCAACACCTGTTTCTACAATGGATTTTACTGTAATCAGAGAGTGTGATTAATTCCAAGAATTGACAACATTACAAACATTTCATGACGGTAATTGCAAAAGTGATATTTATCGGTGTGTTTATGTCACGACTCCATTATAGCTTCTTCCGTGGTACTATATCGGTAATCCAGATTGTGTTTCTGAAACTGGCGGCAAATGAGGTACAAGAGCCGTGTCGCTCGTCTATATACTTAAGCTGATCCTATTGATGTGCGCTATCCAGTTGTCAATATCACGGCTTATCCAGATAAGCCTTATAATTCGTCCCCGCTCTAAGTGTATGTACTTCACTTCAGTCGTTGGCTATATTGATTTTCGAATATTGGATAATGTCAATGATGACGTAAGTAGTTGAAGTAGTGATGTACAGGATATATTGGTCTTGTAGAAACAGGTTTTGTTTATTTAAAATGGTGACACAACAAACTCTTGATGAATGACTTTATAGAAAGGAAAGAAAAAAAAAGAAAAAAGGGTTTTTTTTTTAAAGAAATTGTTGAGGTTCTGCTTACCGTGAATGTGACATTTTTGTTGACTGTGAACACGCGAAGGTACGAAAATGAAGCTGGTATGGCGCAGATCATCGCCAGTAGCCAAATGAGGGTGGCTATGACCTTTGTAAATCTCGTCGCCCTCTTACCACCTCCTGTAAGTTTAACTTTTATTGATAAATTCATTTATGTTTTTCATTGCGCAGGTTGTAAAATTTTAATTATTGATTATATTGTTTTAATCTACGAACACTACAGAAGCAAATGGAACTGTTTCCAATGTACATCTACGAAGGAAAACAAGACGATAAAAATTGTTATTAGGTACTTGAATTGGTAAGATACGTTAATTTTTTGAAGATATTTGTCTTACTTATTAGTCCAACAATTGATAACTCCAACTGATAATAATACAATTTTTTTCAACGTTAAAGTTAATTTCAACGTTAGTTTTTTTCACTCTTAAGGTAGAAAATTCCAACTTTTCTCGAGTTTGAAATATGTTATACATAAAGTTTTTGTATGTCATGGAAAATTTTTTCAAGGTGATATATTGGTAATAGTTTTGAAGATATTTGAATTAAAAATGTTTTTCAACATGAGCTGTAATACGGGATCAGCATTAACAGCTTTAAAGACATACGTAACAAATCAAATTATTTTTATAAAAAATAATGTACTGATCTTGGAAATTTGTACTTTATTTTGGTCCTTTCAAATTATGGTGTGTCTGCAGGAAATAAAAATCAGTTTATTGATTAATGTTTTTCCCGTTACGGTAAATGACGGACTACTTGCTTGATTAACTCGGTCCATGGATTTTCTACCTTAAAAAAATAAAAACATTCTTCCAACAATCTTAAAGGAAAAAGGTGTTCAGGAAAAATCAAAACAGTAAAAGTCATTCCATTTCTCAAACTAGAAAAAAAATTTGTTTTAAAAGTTTAAGTTGATTCATGAAAATTAATAATACCGTAGAAAAACACTGAAAAATAGTCGCAATGTGAATTCCGACTTTACAATTTTTAGCTCGTGATTATTCTATCATTATGAGGAGAATTTATTATTTGCTCATTGGAATGTGTTACACCTTACATAATATAGAAAAAAGTATAAAAGAAAAGAAAACAAGTGGTTCATAAAAATAATCTGAAGGTAAAAAAAAATATCCAACGTGGGAAATGAAGTTTGTAGGAATATGTAAAGTGACAGATAAAAATTGGGTCGTTGGGGGTGAAAAATCGTAAATATTTCTGTAGAATGATAAATAAAAAACATTGGTGAGCAAGACAAAAGTAAAGCCATAAGATTAGATTATTAAGGGAAAAATTTTTCATAAAGAAAAAACATGATATTGTAGAAGAGAAAAATGAAACCCTAGGTGATCATATGAGCTCAGTAAGGAAATGCGATACAAAGAAAGAAGTAATAACAGAATACAAAAATCTTCAAGCAATAGGTAGATGCGAAAGTAGGACAAGAAGAAAGAAGTACTTTGCAAGCTGGAAGGAATACCAGAATCAGATTCATAAAAGACATTAGTTTAAAATTAATATATGGACTTGGTAAGTCCAACAATTTATTCGTCAAAAAAAGCTAGTGTGAATAAAGGTTGAAGTAAGAAAAACAGTATCATAGGCATGGATCAAATATTGAAATCAATATTACCCTTAACAAGAAAAAAGCTACTGTGAAAAAAAGAGGCTCTAATCACTAATCTGAAGGAAAAAAAAGATGATAAAATTATTTAAATAAAGGTAAAGTAAATTCACGCTTAAATTTTTTCTATCTCGTTTTATAATTGAAAATATTTTAATAACATGTCCATGTCGTGGATACTCGTCAAAGTAAATCTCTTCGGCCTGTATATCCTTATGATATACTGTAAGATTTCAATTTTGTAACGTTAGTTTTTTAAGTCCCATAGCTCCGTAAAGAATCCTTTAAAATCCCTCTGTTCTTATTACTCCGAATTTAAACCATAGAAATCCTATAAATGCCGCTTTTTGAACTCGTAAATTTACTGCTATGTATGATGAGCTTCTGATACCACATTACTTTGAAATCAACTAATTACTACTTTGAGACCTCTTATCTAGCAATAAAGCTTTTCTGATTACTCAAAGTAAAATGTCCTGATGCTCGGTTTTTGCTACCCCCAGCATCATGGGATTGATGAAATCTCGCGTTTTTAAGCTGCAGAGATTCAAAAGCTTTCAGAATACTTTTAAATTATGAGCTCGATGCAAGTCGTCCAGAGCTATCGGTCAGTTCAAATTATCAATCTATCTGTAGGTAAAAATTGACATTTTTACGTCTATTTGCTATTAATTTGATTTTAATAGTTAATATATAAAATCACTAACACTTAAGATTATTAGAATATTTCATGCATGGACGTTTTTCCACTTTTAAATTATCAATTCCAACAGAGCTACCAGGCCCGTTCATTTTTTTCATTTCAAGCTTTTTTTATTGTATGCCATTATTAGATTCACGTAGCTATTCGTTTACAACTTTACATACTGCAGTTTTAACTAACTACTTTCATTGAGACAAACCACATTTTACACTTATTTTATTTTATTTTTCATTGAAGTAAAAAGATATTACACGTAAAGATAAATCCATTTGAAATTGCGAAGTTTGAATCTCAGAGTGTAAAAACTATGGAGACCTTACAACTTATGTTGGGTCCCAACTTGGTATTACAAAGCTCTAACCACAGAGGCGTTAGTTATTGATATATGAGTAACTTACATGCCCCGTTTGCGAAATCTATAAAAAATAATCAGCGTAAAATTAGTTACCACCCCGACTCGTCAAAGTTTATATGGAATGGTTCACTTAAGCTTTGGAGACAAAAGGATAACCAATTTCACGTAGAATTTTAATTTTCAACACGTTCCTTACTCATATTAACATTTTATGTTACACTTTTAGCTGTAATGAGAACATGAGGTATTGTGCGTGACACTAATAGGAAATTCATTGCGTTTGAAAGTCATGATTTACAATGTACGAACTTTTCGAACATTCGCGTTGAAACAATAGTTTCATTTAATGACTGCTTGATTTATTAAATAACTTTTCTATAATACAAAATGAGTTTTCACCGCATCCAACTAATTCCAACTAATTTTTTGATTAACTGAGCTATTCGATGGTTTTGCTGTAAATTTAATCGACAGAGGGCCCTTCACTACTTTTTGAAACTTTAAATTCATTTCCAAGTGTAGGTACCGTATTGCTCGGAGGATCCAAGAAGTGGCTCATAAATAGAAGGGAAGACTTTTCGTGAACTGTTTCGACTGAAATTAACGAGATTGACTGTTACTAAACTAAAGCTCAGCACTGAGTTAATTGTACAACAAGACAATGATAATATTAAAAGACGCAAAGTGCACATTGAAAAAATTGCAAAATTACCATGTCTATTGGTTAAATCAATAACTCTTTAAATTGCACATTGGAAAAATTGCTGAAAACTTGACTACGAATAGTAGATTGAGAAGCGTAAAAATTCAATCAAATGACAATGGTATACATTTAAAAAAGAAATATGTTGTTGATAAGATAAATATGTGTCTGTTTAAAAAACTGATTGTTATATCCCTGAATTAAACACTGTTCTCGCAATTATAGGCAAATGTTCATCTTGATATTTTGATGCAATAGATAAAGAAGAAAGAAAAAAACCCTACGAAAACATGTGGGAAGTGTCCCTGTAAAATCGGTTAAAACCACAAACGTCTTGTAACAAAGGATAGCGCGGGTGCCGCTTAACAATGCCACTGTGCAACAAGTGTACGTACCTGTGGCGTGCAGTTTCCTCATGGGATCGACGATGGCGAAGAAGCGGTCGGCCGATAGGGCCGTTAGAGTGAAGACGGAGACGCCAATGGAGATGTCCTTGGCGCACTCGGACACCTTGCACAGCAGCAGCCCAAACGGCCACGAGTCCAGGACGTACACTGTGAAGGTGAACGGCACGCACGTCAGGATCACCTGTAAGCACACGTGTACACGCGCAAAGCCCCTCTTGGGTTAGTTTTTCCAACGACTTATTGACTCGGATTTTAGGGTAATCTTTGCAATCAGTACCACAATTTTATTCTCATCGGTAACGAGTAACGAATAAATAATTAAGGCCTCGATCAGTCCTAATCAAACTTTACTAGTAATAGTTACAATTTTCAGAAATGTTCTGATTCAAGGTTGCAAGTTGTCGTGAATGAAGGCCATTGCCGTCTTTATCATCTCATAAACGAACTTACGATGTGGCTGCAAATCTATAAATCAATATGTGTCACCAAAATAAATAACTTACAAGTTGATCCAAATTAGCACGGTCTGATGATTTTTAATTTTTTGCCAAAAGTGACACTTTTATGTGTCCAACATCCCGCGTTATCGCTACAGATTTTCACAAGCCCATAGTTTTATTTTTGTTTGTAAGTATTAGCTACAGGACATTGACAACCGCGCGTCATTGTCCCCTGCTCTGCAAGTAATCCTCACGTAAATCGAGTCCGCAGTTTTTCGATCGACCCGTTCCAGAAAAATTCTCACTCTCCGGCTTCTTCGCGCTCATTTCCCCCTTTTTTACTGATTTCTTTATGTCGCTCGGAACTTTCACACTTGGCGAATTACTTTCTCTCCTCCGCCAGAGAAGGAGTGATGCTTATCGGTAAAAAAGTTCATTAAAGAAGGCGCCTCTGAAACTAGATTAATGCGACTTGTGTGAAGAGGTATTGTACCAAGTTGCAGGCGCTTTCACCAGGAAGAGTTTTTTTTTTTTTTATTTTTTACTAGACTTTAGAGCTCCTTTACTCGATTCTACTTCGAGAATCAGGATTAATTACTTCTCTTTTTTTTCACTTTTCTACATAATAGTTATTGAAGAAATGATATAAATCACAAACCAGTGTGATGTTATGCACGGGAAAAAAAGGTCTAAGTGTGGTTAAACACAACGTGTTTTCAAATTCAAGAAGAATATAAATTCACGTAAAATTGGCGTGTGACGTGCTCAACGGGTGTTCAAACAAAGATTCATTGTGCTCGTGGCAATCTTGCTCGCCTTGCACTGAAACAAAGTGCTTCAACGCAAAATATAGCTGCACTTATTTATGAGAAAATTTGCGCTTTTACTTATCACGAGACATGATTGCTTGTTTTTATCAAAACAAAAAGTTGTTATTGCATTTTTTATCAGAGCTGTTGGATTTTAAACCCCCGGCGCAGCTTTTTTAATTAAATAAATTAAAAGTGTATTCTTCGTAGTATTAAAAACTTTCGTTATTATAAATATAGTTTTAAAAATAAATAAATAAATCACTGAATAACGGCTTATGAAAATAATTTAAATTGCAGCAAGTTTTGAATGAGTATACAAAAGTAACACTTCGTATTGTTTTATAGGATAAACATTTATTTTAGAAATATCAGAGATTGTCTTTAGTTCTTTTTTTTTGTGTGAGAATAAAAATTTTTTACAACATGTTCCGCATTTCAGTATATTTTCGGTAAAATTAAACTGATATTCAAAGGAATGTTGTAATTTTAATAAAAAGTAAAAAAAGTTTCAAGTACGAGCACGGTATACTCGAAAATATAATATTCTTGAATCGTTTGAAGTTTAAAGCGTTCGAAAGATAAAAGTTACAGGCTAACCCAAAATTCTGAATCACGAGTGTCGAATTTAAAACGAAAATTAAATTAAAACATGTAAGGCAAAAATCCCAGAAACAAAATGGAACGCGAGAAAATACTGCCGTATGGAAAAACAAAAGTTGGTAAAAAAAACATTCCACATCTCCCGAGAGACTGCAGGTACTCGGTGGTACAACAGAGAGGAAAATGAGCCTCGGGATGTGTTGTGTTTCCACATCACGCAGCGCTACAAGCCTCCCGGCTTAGTCTCACGGAGCATAAAATTGATGCTCGTGGCACTGGCGCGCTGTTACTTATTTCTCGCCCGAGTACGTGTACACGCATACGCGAAACTCGAGGTAAGCATATATATATACCCAACCACGCGCGGAAGGGTTACAAAAGCTCGCAACGTCGTAAAAGCTCTCTCCCACACGTGCCAGAGTAATCCACGTGTCGTAGTAATACGCGAGAAGTGCATCATTGGAGCGTTTTTCCCCGGTCTTTTCCAGGTGCGTTCAAATATATTATTGGTTGCTATGAAAACGAGTCCTCGAAAGAACAACCGAATGGACCTCCGGTGTAGCTCTTTACTTTAGGGTGTACTTAAAAGTACGAGGACTTCTTGGTCAGAGGTGCTTTTAGTGCTACTTGTAAGTACTGTCAAAGGAAAGAGCCACGTGTACCGCAGTGTCCTCGTATTAATGGCTTTCTGTATAACTTTTCTTTTCTCCATCAGAGGGTATATCTCCGACGAATCAAACATTCACGAATTTTGTCCATCGCTCAGATCTGAGGGAGTCGAAGTTTCAGACTTTTGTACGAACGAGCTTTTCACTTGAAAAATAAAACAGGCAGCGTCGCGTTTAAGGGATATTTATTGCTAATCGTAAATAAAATCTGGAATCTCTCTCGATTGGTGGTCCAAAGTTAAGAAATATACATCGCCAAGCGGTTCGATGTGACGTTAATTTTTTGGCAGCCATAAATTTTCCGTCCCATCTTCGAACTGGGCTACATCATACATGTTCTGAACTTGCGCTATTAAGGTAATGTGTTTATTCTCTACTTTAAGTTAAAATCGGTTATAAATCTTCGAAATGTACGGTATATGGTATAGTGCTAATATACAAATCAAGGACAAGGACGAGATAAGAGTTAAAAAAAATACAACGAAAGTGTACATTAAGGGGGTTGGAACAGTATACAGTCAGCCTTAAAAGTCAGTTTGGATTAAAAATTAGTGTATTTTAACATTATTCTTGATGAATCATACGAGCTATTCCATACCGTACAATAGAAGATTACTAAAAAGTGGGAAAATAAAAAATTAATATTTCACAGTTGAATCTAAATCGAATTTCTCGCCTGGTGTATATAGATATACCAATAGCATTTCGTTCAAACTTTTAATTAAAGTATTTCTCAAAACATGACGGCAGGCTTCTTCAAATTTAGATATTTTATTCTAATTGTTATTTACAATAACATTACTAGTTTTTTGAAAGATTTGTAAAAATATTTTTCAAGTTATTCGTGAAAATGTAAATGCCGCAACGACGTTTTCGTAAGATCCTAAGTTTGCTATTTTTTTTTTCTCAAAAACTGTGACACTATGGTTCCTGAAATTTTAATATGTTGTTAACATAATGAAAGCAAACACATTGTAATTTTTTGGAGACTGTCGTAAGAAATATGTTTTTCACTCTAAAGGGGAATCCCCGTATTAGCTCTTTCCTCTAGCTTCTACCTCAGCTCGTCGTGTGGAAAAATCATGTCACTACATTAATACCTTTGAATGTATATACTGTGCCAAAGCGCATCTTCGGAACACAAGATATTTTGTATGAAAAGCCATTCAAGAAAGAAGAACAAACTTACCAACAAATCGCCAATGGCGAGCGAAAGGACGTAAGTGTTGGGCACGTTGCGCATGTTGGCGTGCCGGCAGATCGTGACCATGAGTACTCCGTTGCCGGTGACCCCGACGATGAGGATGCAGGCAAAGACAATGGGCACGATGTAGGTCTCGAGTCGCTCGCCGTATGGCGTGTAATTTTCCTCGGCGCCACCGGCACCACTGGCGTTGCTGCCGGCCGCCAGTAGCAACAGCAAACCACCGGTAGCTCCGTCCTCTTCGGAGCCACTCGGTTGTGTCAGCATCTCCACATTGGACGGACTCGTCATTTTTCACTTTCTTTTTGTGCCTCTATCTCTGTTTTCCTGTATTCTAGCAGCAACTGATGGAGCTACTGCGTCGCGGATGACTAGTCATACTCGCTGTCTTGGCGTTGACAAGCTACTCCTAACCTCCTGCCCGACTATTCGTGGTCCATCTAGGCATACTTCCTTCCATTCGAGACACTATACGTGCCGGTGAGAAAGCTGGAAAACAAATTTGTCATCATTTTACCACTTGCACCTTATAAAAGTCATACAAGCGATAAATTGTTTATTTTACATTGAAGGTTGACCTTCTAACCTATAGTATCGATTTTCTTGACATAATACCATATCAAATGAGTGACAATATGAAACGATACTTATATATTTACTTTCATTCAGTTGAGAAAATTATAGTGAATATTTAACAGGAAAAAAAAAATTATACTTTTGAAAGAGAATCAATGTAAGAATAAAGGTGGGAAAAGAGGTAACCCAAGAGTTTCGGGTAGCACAATTTCGCTTTGCTTTCGTAAAATTGTGTATTATGATATTTTGTAATTTTTTTGCTCATCAGTTTGTTATGATTGCTTATAAAAGTGTATTATACGTTTCGTTCTGTGAATGGTTCTGGTATTCATCTGGGGAGTCGATTATATATAGTCACTAGGATCTGGCAGAATATGTGCATAATTGATTGTAGGTATATAATAAAAAATTTGTAAAAAAGAAAAAACCTAATTAAGGACATTGAAATATCAAAATAATGTCTAGAAAGGACTTTGATAGTAGCAATGCAAATGAAAGATAGATACTGGATATATATAGTCTAGCAGTAGAATGAATGTATTATTTTAAGTATCTTCCGTTTAAAGCGTCATCTTTCGCAGAGTTGCTGCCTTTATTGTCGCTAATTTTAAGACCTCCCTCTATTTAGCAGATTCTTTGGAACTACTGTATTTAATTTTTTAGCGTTAAAGAAACTATTTTTTTATTTTTTACTGCTTATTCCCGGATCTAATTTTCCTCATTGTCAAGAGTTTTACAATCAAAATATTTAATGTGCAATTTGAGTTGATAACAAATATAATTTTATCATAGTAAACAAGACCCACCAGCTTACATGTATTTTAGATGATTGAATCTGAATCTTTCTTGATTTAAGTTACGCTTGGGATTTTTATATTAACATTTTTTTGATGCAACTAAGAATATGTGTCGTTCCCTTTCTTTTTCTACTCATTATGACCCTCAGGCTCAGACGTGGCTATTTTGACACCCATAGGAGTTTACTAAAAAATGTCATATTTCCATAGGGTTTTAGCCATAATTTAATACATCGTTATTAATTAATCATTAAGCGAGTCCTATGTGCGTATGATGAACTACAGTCGAAATCTCATTTCCTCTTTCCACTCCTTTCCTTCACTTTGTGTTCATGCAGAGCATACGGATTTACTTCTACATGAAATTCCACAAATTTCATCTCGTTTGAAGTTAATTTAATACGCTAATTGAATTTTCTCTGGATTTCCACTTGAAGAGCTCTCCAAGAAAATCATACTTTACTGCAAAGATAAAAATAAATGGATTTCGATGAAATGTGTGCATCAAATATATGTATAGCCATAGAATAGAATTCTCAATAATCAGGGTGATTCAAAGCCTAGAAACTGAGAAATTTAATGTTTAATCAAGCATGTAATAATTTCCTACAATTTTTACCTCCAAACTTTTTTTTATTTTACTAATAACTTTATGGTATTTCCTAGTTTCGTTGTAAATTCATATGCAATCTAAATGCCATACAATTTTCAAGCTATAATACGTTTTGAATAAAATTTTAATTGGTGAATACTTATTTTCTGATCAAACAGTTCAAGTTGATAATGGCACAGAAGTACTTGGCATTTTTAAATCAATTAATTTTGATTTTTAACCAGAAAAAATTGCATATTAAAGCATCATTACGTTTTTATCAATTGACCAAGAAAATGAGCAAAAAACAGGAAAAAAATAAAATCTAGGAGCCTCGATTCTAGCACGTCAGTATATCGAACAATTTTGAGGCTCATGCTAATTATGACCCTGACACGAGGAAACTCTATCGGTGCACGTGTTACGGACGCAAATAATAACGTCACTCGTGTACAGAACAGAAACTGGATGATAATTATCTTGACGTTTTTGCGTGAACCAGCTATTTTTAATATTAACACAAATAATAGTATTTGATTGATAAAGTACCTTATAAGTGCAAGCTACCAAAATTATATCTGTTAGACAAAAAACTTTGATATGATTATTAAACAGAGAATAACAAGCTTATCATTTTTTTTGCTTTGATATTGAAAATTTATTTTAGAAAAATTTTCTATACTTTCCTGCAAATTCGCGAACTAAGTAAATACGTAAGAACTTGAAAGTTTAGTCTTATACATTCAAAATAATGTAACAAGAGTGTTTTTTTTTTATTTATTAAAGAAAAACTAAAAAATTTTACTAATACAATTAATTTTTTTTTTATGTACGTATTTATGCATACAAAAATACGTATTCAAGATAATAAAAAAAATAATAATAGTTATGGGTTGTGCCTCATTCAGTTCTTAACATCATTAAAAAATGACATTACGACTACCCAGTAGATATTCCTTATCAAATCTTTTTTAACAATCATATAATAATGTAGTATTATATCGCATTAACAAGTATACATGTAAATACGACGCAGGGCTATATACATATAACAGTATAATTACCTAAAAAAATTTATATAAAAATTTTATGGTTCATTTAATAAAATGTTTCGAAACTTATCAATTTCCACAAATAATACCAAGATAAACATCATATCATACATCATCATCATACAGTTTCAAAAAAAATTAAATTTTTAATAAATGTTCAAAATATTAATACTACTGTCTAAATTATTGGAATTTTATTGTATCGAATCAAGTTACAAAATACTGGGACAAGAATGAAATGGCGACTTTATATCAGGTATTTTTCAATCTGTTCAACTGTTTATTGTACTTTTCATATTTTATTATTTTAACATAAAATTGAATTAGCTATAACTATAGCACTCCGAATGACACCAAAACACCAAAACACCAAATAATTTTTAGCACAATGAATTCCGCAGTGTTGAAAAAAAATACTGCTGTAACACTCGTTAGTCAAAAATTATCATAAATAAAATGCACTGCCATAACGTGAACTACGACTGTCAGCGAAAGGTGCATGATTTTATTTTCGTCTACGAGAGATCGATGACGTGAAGGACAAAGATAATGATTACTCGTTTGATAAATATAGTGACGTCACGCAGAGTACATTAAGGAAATGTTCTGCAATTGATCGAAACAGTTCTTCGTGATGAAATCAATTATGATTTAGCTATAACTTCGATTAAAGTTTTGCGTGAACTTTATCTTTCAAAATTTTCTTACAATGATTTTATCTTACTGCATAGTGTTGAGTCACCTCAACCAACCATAAAACAGTTATAAAAGAAATTTCAATCTTAAAATGAGTCTTTCAATTTGTTCAAATGGATCCTCAATTAAATTAATGAATAATTGATTTCTCTAAATAATACTTTAATGTGATTATCAAGTGCCACTTGGTGGAAAGGCAAATTAAACGTTTGGCTGGATACTCGACTGAGTAATAAAAATCCGATGATATTCATTTGCACCGATCATGAGAATTAGTCGGAATATTATAGCACTCCCGCTCATTCGCGAGATGATATGAACAAATTCAGCCGAATCGCATGAATAATTGATCTTTGTGAAGAAAATGGGTTGAAAAAAAAAAAAAAAAAATCAAGTTATTCCACGATGAACATCCACCTGGGACGAGCAGAAAAACGTCCACACGAGTATCACTGCTGTCCGTCGCTGACAGTCTTGTACTTGAAAGAAAAACAAAAAACTCCGTTGCCCCGTAAGGGGGTAAACGCAAAGAGTCGAACTCGAGTGGAACGTAAAAGCGAAACACCCAAGTCAGCGCTCTTTTACGCCACATCGGCCGGACACTTTGGCATAAAGTTAAGGCGGAAAGGAGAAAAATAAAAAAAAAGGCAGCAGGAAAAGGAGATCGCGGAAAAGGATGGAAGTCCATACGGAGGAAAGCTCGAGCCTCTACACGGCGGGCACATATCGTTTAACGCCTTCCCCGTATATCAGCCTTTTTATTCTCCGGTATACGTACAAGGGTGTGCAAAGGTAGTAAAGATAGTTTGAAGGTGAAGGCACACACACACACGTGCATGGAAGCGAGTCAGGGTTAAACCACGATCGGCTAGTTATCGCCGTCACAGCTCAGCACTACCCCACCCCCCAACCATTTTCTTACCCACCACCCACCTCTTTTTCCCAACCTCGATAAAGTTTTAAAACTCCCTGTAGTCCTACACCCACGGACGAGCACTACAACTTGTATGCACGTGTATTCTAATCCCAGTGGCTATTGTTTCCGTAGCACCGTCGGAGTCTGGGCCATTTCACGCGCTCCTTATACCGATGCTCGACCCCCCTACACCCCCCAACTCTTCGAAACTCTTCCGGCGCGCGAGAGCAAACTTGAGCAATTAAAGAGTCCCCGGTTCCGCTTGTTCGCGCGTGTGTGCTTGCAACGCGACGTCAAAAGTCCCCCTCCGAGTCTAGCTGCTTCCTTCTTCCTGCACTCCCGGGATTCAATATATATACCTGTGTGTGCCGTCGTCGTTGTCCGTCGATCCGACGCTGCAAACAAAGAAGTCCACGACTCTTTTCTTTATCCCCCCACTCCCCTCCTCGAGGAGCTTCTCCAGTTTCCTCCTCTCGCTCAACCCTCATCCGCATTATCGCGTAACGACGCTCCTCCCCCGCCATGTCGCCGTATACACTCCCTCTCGAGTCTTCCGA